AACCCGCCACCTTAGGTGTACGTGGCTGGCGCCTTAGCCGATTGAGCTATAGGCGCTGAGCCTGGGTCCCTGTTTTGTTTAGCTCCAAACATACTTTAATTTTGTTCTCCATTAGCTTTTTATTAATAGCAAACCACCCCCAAAATGTAATGGCATAAAACAACAAGTATATGGGCTCAAAATTCTATGAGCTAGCCGGGCTTCTTCTCCTGATCTGGGTAGCTCAGCTAATCCCTGCTGGGCTCCCTTGTGCTTCTGAGGTCACCCGGTAGGCTGGATAACCTAGGATGGCCTCAATCCTGTGTCTGGCAAGTGGCAGGCTATTGCCTGAGGCAACAGGTCACATGCCTTTATCCATCAGATTGTCCAGCCTCCTTCACTCACGGTGGTGGTAGGGCTCCCATGGGCAGCATGAAGGCAAGCCCCACGTGCAACCACTTGTGAGCCTCCATTGGTTGGTGCTTCTGCTAACATCTTGTTGGCCAAAGCCAGTCACGTGGTCAGCCCAGAGTCAATGTGGGAGGTCTCGACTGAAAAGCCTAGAGAGAGGAGAGGTCTACTTTTTTGGTGATAAACCACAACCAATATTTTTCAATTGAGATTTCTCGGCATCACTGAAACACAAAGTTTGACCGCTCTGGATTCCTCTTGTCCCAGCGTAGTAACAGGTAAGCCCTTTCCAGGGTGCTACCATCAGTCCCCATCCCCCAGAATGCATGTCTTTACTCAGCGCCTTCTGGTACACCTGGTTATCACCTGCTGCGCCCCGCACGTTTCACATGTGTGTCCTCTCAGCATGCAGCCATGGAGATTCTTACCATAAACTCCTAGAAGTGGAATTGCTGTATTTGAAGTTGCAAGCATTTTTTAAAACTATTTTCACTTTTAAAAGCATTTGAAAATTTGTAAAAACTACTTTTGCTGCAGCAAAATATAGGGTATCTGGCTTTAATTGCCAGTTTGTTCCACTAGGCTTTGGTGGCCCACTGTGAAAGTTGCTATTGGGGACACACACAGGCACACACAACACCCGTGAGGCACTGGGAGGAGCCTGTCTGCCTCCCTTTCTCTGGGGAGTTCTCCAGGTGTAGTAATTTTGGGTAGTTTCCCCCTATTCAGTTACTGACTGAACATTTATGGAGAGGCTGTTGTAAGCCGGTCACTCAGCCCAGCAGAGAGGTGAGAAGATCCTCAGTACATAGTCGGTTCCTGCCGTCCTTGAGTTCACAATGACCAGGGAGACAGGCACATAGCTCTAATGACAGCAGTAGCCAGCCCACACCTGAGTTCTAAGAACGCAGAGGAGGAATGAGTCATGGTGCTGGCTTCCTGGGCAGTGGGAAGTGTGGGGAATAAAGCTCCATCACATGGGTAAGTTACAC